AATGAAAAGTTTTATTTTTAGTTTCGTTTGCATAACCTCCTCAAAACTAATTACGGTTTCCTGCATTAGCATGGAGCTGTCGCTAATGTAGATCACAGGACAGGCGTTAAGAAACTTTTCTCGCCACTGTAAGTGTAAAACAGAGCTATTTCGAAGCATGTAATCAGTATATAAGCAAAAGCTTCCTGATTTTATCAAATAACAGTCGCGAAAGACAGCCGGCTAAGTAGGCACAAAGCCATTCATGGCTGACGGACTTACAAACTTTCCAAAACTTTTTTTTTTTGAAAAACGATTCAAAGATATCCAAAAAGAATAAGAAAGACTCGAATCATCAGAAGGAATTTGACCGTAAAGGTAACACATAAACGATTTCACTTGCTGAAAACAAAGTCAAACTTTTACTGGTGTTATAATCTCAAAACAGACAACTTTGCGGGAAGTTGAATAAGAAAACTTCAATCCAGTTGTGTTCACGATCAAAACGCAAATACCTCTCACATTTTTCTTCCAGCTTTGTTTCAAATGAGCTGTAAGAGTTTTTATAAACTACTCAATCAACTTGAAAGTGATGACGAACTTAGAAGCTCAGAGCGAGGCCGGTTGGCGAAAGATGGAGACAGGAACTGCCAAATTAATGGCAGCCACGAGGAAATTTCTTCTGTATACGAACACATTCTCAGAACAAACATACGCTCATTAGTTCGATCGAATCAGAAAGACAAAATTTTACTTTTGCCCTTTGGAAGTGCTCTATAAATAGTCGTATAAGGCTAATTCGATCTCAGTTAATCACTGGTTGCAATTGATGATCGTACAAGAAACAAGCTTAGATTAAATATGCAGTAGCATAATAATCGTCTAAAACTCCAGTGTTAAGTTGGACGATGACAGAGCGAAGTAAAACAGTTATAGAAAGTGTAATTTAAGGCTCGGTTAATAAGTTATGCTTCTCACTTTTTCATTTACCAGAGCCAGAGTCTACCAAAGTATCATCGCAACGTAGAAATGATCCAAGACTACGCAACAACATACCCTGGATCAGTTCGTGTCGCACCCACAAGTCACGCATACATGCATTTATAAGTAATTTCCATAATAATAGATTCACAACATCTCGAAAACATTTTCGGGAACATTCACGGCTGATGTTTTTCCGCAAATTTGTCCAAGGTGTAATCTTCGCAAAGGTGTAAGCTACCTTGGACGCGGAGCAAAGAAAACGTACGTACATCACAGACAATCGTAATTATGTCGAATGATGAAATACCCGAGTCAAATCTCCATGCCTCCTTCATAATTCTTCTTTCTTCTTTATTTGTTTGGGTTCTTCCTAAATACCTTTTTGACTCTCAGATGTAACTCTCTTTGAAACAGTTAGAGTAGAACCTCGAGATTTCTATCGTGTGATAATTCAACGATCGGGGCATAACAGTGAGAATAAATAAAACAAAAACGATTTGCATCTTACTGAGTAACTCTGCTGTCTGTAAAATTAAAGTTCTACTACAAAACGCATGACCTAAAGCAAAACTGATTTCACACGGAAAGCAGTTTTTCAAACCAGATGTTTTAATCGTTAAATTTTGTTTGGTATTCTAATAGATGATTATCTGCTGAAAGTCAATTTTCATGATCATCTGAGCAGAACCACAGCAAAATAACATCACATGAGTTTGCATATTCTAAACTCAAAAATGAATCCTTGTAGTGGTTCATCTGCAATCCATGTCTACATTTTAATTGATTATTTTCTCTCTTATATTTTTCCATCTCTGATAAAGATGAGTTGGCGCGGCATTTTTTTCAATCTTCGTGACAATACTTTCTAAATATAATTCGGCTTATTGCCCACAAAATGCGTTGATTGTTATATATCCAAAAGCAAAACATTTAAGGTAACTGACGAGGATTACGAAGTCTAACGATAAATCAAGAGTTAGAGAAGAAGACTTTTGCTTGAAAAACAACTCTCTTTTGCAATATACAAGGATTGCGTAAAAGATCGAGAAATGCAAAGTTTTACTTTCAGTTTCGTTTGCATAACCTCCTCAAAACTAATTACGGTTTCCTGCATTAACATGGTGCTGTCGCTAATATGGATCGCAGGAAAGCCGTTAAAAAAATTTTCTCGCCACTGTAAAAGTAAAACAGAAATATTTTGAAGCATGCAATCAGTATATAGGCAAGAGCTTCCTGATTTTATCAAATATCAGTCGCGAAAGTCTGCTAATTAAATAATCACAAAGCCATTCAGGGCTGACTAACTTTCCAAACTTTTCAAAACTTTTACTTGTTGCGAAATGATTCAAAGACATCCAATAACAATAAAAAAGACTTAAATGATTAGATACCTATAGCTAAGAAAGGAATTTTGTTTGACCGTATAGTTAACACATAAATGATTTCACTTGCTGTAAACAAAGTTAAACTTTTGCTGATGTAGTAATCTCAAAAGAAACAACTTTGGGGTAAAGTTGAATACGAAAACTTCAATCCAGTTGAATTCACGATCAAAACGCAATTACCTCTCAAATTTTTCTTCCAGCTTTGTGTCAAATTAACTGAAAGTGATAACAAACATAGAGACTCAGAGCGAGGCCGGTTGAAAACAGATCGAGACAGGAACGGCCAAATTAATGGCAGCGACGAGGAAATTTCTTCTGTATATGAAAACATTCTCAGAAAAAACATACGCTCATAAGTTCGATCGAATCGGAGACAAAATTTTATTTTTGCCTCTTGGAAGTGCTCAATAATAGTCGTATGAGGCTAATTCAATCTCGATTAATCTCTGGTTGCAATTGATGTTCGTACAATAAACAAGCTTAAATAAATGTACAGTATGATCATAAGGGAATAAAACTCTAGTGTTAAGTCGGGCGATTACAGAACGAAGTAAAACAGTTATAGAAGGTGTATTTTAAGGCTCGAATAATAACTTAATTTTTTTCACTTTTTCATTTAACAGAGCCAGAGTCTACCCAATTTCTCTTGCAAATCTTCGCAAGGGTGTAAGCTCCCTTGGACGCGAAGCATAGAAAACATTACAGACAACAGTAATGATATCTAATGATGAAATACCCAAGTCAGATCTCCAAGCCTCCTCTCTTTGCTTGGAAAGCAAGTCTCTTTTACAATATTTAAAGATTGCGTAGGAGATTGAGAAATGCAAAGTTTTACTTTCAGTTTCGTTAGCATAACCTCCTTAGAAAACTAGTCACGGTTTCCTGCATTAACATGGAGCTGTCTTTAATGTAGATCACAGGAGAGCCGTTAAGAAAATTTTTTTGCCACTGTCAAAGTAAAAAATAGCTTTGTCGAAACACGTAATCAGCATTTAGGCAAAACCTTCCTGACTTCATCAAATATCAGTCGCAAAACTTAGTTCAATAACCGCAAAGCCATTCATGGCTGACTGACTTACAAACTTTCCAAAACTTTTTCTTGTCGCAACATGATTCAAAAACATCCAATACGAATAAAAAGACTTAAATGATTAGAGTCCTAAAGCTAAGAAAGGAATTATGTTTGACCGTAACGGTAACACATAAATGATTTCACATGTTGAAAACAAAGTTTAAAAAGTTTTACTACTGTAATACTCTCAAAACAAACAACTTTGCGGAAAGTTGAAAAGGAAACCTTTAATCAGAACTTGAATGCCTCTAAAATTCCTGGTCCACACTTTTCGTGAATGAACTTTGAAAGTTCGTTCAGAACAAATCAGTTTGAAAGTGATCACAAAACTGAGAGCCAACCTGTTTCCCGTTTGTTGATCAGTCGACAATGGATCGAGACAGGAACGGCCGAAGTTAACGTTAGCCACGAAGATATTTTTCTGTATGTGCATGTACACATTTTCAAAGCAAGCATCTGTTATTCTTCCAGACAAATCAAAGAGATCAAATGTTATTTTTTCCTTTTCTACGTGCTCTATAATGGTCGTACACGGCTGTTTCAATCTCAGAATATCACTGGTTGATAATCGCATAATAACTCGGTAAGCTTTAAATTTACAGTATGATTATAAGAGTATTGAACTCCAGCTTAAGTTTAACAATGACAGAACCAAGTAAAATAGCGATAAAATGTTTCATTTAAGGCTCGAATATTAAAAAAAGTTTTCTCACCTTTCATCTACCAGAGCCACTGTGTACCAAAGTATAGTCGCAAGGTGGAAATGCTCTCTGACAACAACGTACCGCGAGTTAGTTTATGTAGCACTCACAAGTCACGCATGAATGCCATCATAAGCAATTTCCATGGTAAAAGATACACAACATTTCGAAAGAATTTTCTGGAACATTCACGGCTGATGTTTTTCCGCGAACTTGAACAAGCTACTATTTGTTTTGTAAATCACTCCGAGCGAGTTGTTCTCCGGGGGGTGAGAAATTTCATTCTGTTTTTTAAAACGCCAGAGTTCAGAATTCATGGGTGTAAAAGCGGACTTGCTGATTGTTGCGAAGGCACGAATAAATGATGGTTTTTGCTAAATCGGTTGGAATCTTGACCGGTATAAATTGGCGAGGCCATTATTATGGCTAGACAATCCTCCCTGGTCATCGAAAGATGATAAACTTAGGGTAGAAGAAACGCATTTATTCGAAGTAGTCAGCTTCCAACCTAAAAGCGGTCCTTAACCTCATCACATTGACGATATTCACGTAAAACACGGCAAACGCTGCCAACATGAGGCGGACAAAGTTGATAAGGTGAATTGTTTGGAATTTAATTGACACAGAGCCACGGAATTGTAAAATAGGTATTTAGCAATATGAATCCAATCAACGGGAAACTCTTCTTCGAACGTACCCGATGCCCATCTGATTGCCCTTTGATTCAGAGACATCAATTTTGTCGAAGTTCTCGTTGGGCTGAAAGCAAAACTTGGAATCCAAACATTGCCCCAAGCAATTGCAAAACTCACCAAAATTTGCATGTCAAACTTGATCCAAAAATAGAACTTGTTATACTGAAAAGCGGATACAACGTTACCTTTTGTTTTATTGGTGTAAAATCAAAGATATAACTGTATAAATCAAACACGAAATTCAAAACTTTAAATCTTTATACTTTTACACGAATATATTTTCAAAGGCTTTAACATTTTTTTCCGGTCCAATAATTTGTTGTGTTCGTCTTCCATATGTGAGCTCACGAGACCTTGGTCATAGACTGTTTACCTCTGATGGTTTGAGAAGTCCATGCGATGCAATTACCTCCTCGTTTGCGAACAATTTTACTGGCTGACGCCAAAAGAGAATGTAGGCATGTCTTGACTGACCTTTGTTTCTTGCCACCCTAAAATTTGCTAGTTCCCAGTCTTTCTTGCGCGGCCGAGGGTTTCGCGAGAGATTAGCACTATATTAACAAAGGGAACGATGAGAAACGAACGAAAATCTTTTTACACGCGGACCTCTCGAGCACTACCTAAATATCTAAAATAAGAGAGACAACTAAGAACGAGTCAGCCTCAGAATGGCATAGGATCATTCGCACTTTCCCAGCAGACAACATCATTTATACCCAGTGCAGGGCGAGTTACTAACGGGTCCATTCTTCCATCATACAAACCGAACACACCTCCTGTTGGAAAATCAGACACACCCTATCAGACGTGTGCGAAATTCGCATGACAATGTTACAAATCAGGTCTCGCCATTTTCAAAGGATTGGTAACACCATCCTCTGAGCAAAAATATGAAAGTTTATCACCTGTGGATGTTGTCGTATTCAGTCTTCCATCAAAAGATATATCTTATCAGAATTCTTGGTTTGTTGTATCGGTAACTATTTTTACGAGTTGTGACATATTTTGTCGATCAAGCAGGGCGAGTCCAAACACAAACTATGAGTAAAAATACCCAGCGATACTACACACCAAAACGTCTCATAAGTTATTGCCCAACTGCTTTATTTCATGGGCAAAAAGTGGGAAAAGCGACGCAAATAGAGAAGTGCAGCACGCGCAGCCAACCGATTAAACAAGTTTTTTTACAGTACAAAATAACCAAATGTACAATATCACAGGAAATTTTTTACTAGATTCGCGCGTTAATTGTACTCTACTTAGTGCAATTGAAAAATAATGAGCAATTATTGGATGAGGTTGAGCATAATATCATAAATTAGCAATGCCGGGGTCTGAGTTATCTGCCGAAGCCGAAAGCCGAGGCAGATAACACAGATGCCAGGTTTGATAATTTATAATATCATGCTACAACCAAATTCAATAACTGATTTATCATTTATTTTTTGAAACAATTTGCTAAAGAAGAATCTTCTCTCTGATTTTGCAAGAGTTTGAGAACACTACACGGACGAAGGGCTTGGACACTAGGCAGAATTTAAACGCGACACGAGAAACCAATATCTGCTATTGTATATCGAATGTATGCTCTCGACCAATCAGTCTTCATAGTAAGTCTAACGTATAATAATTTTGCTTCCACGCGAAAGAAAGTACATACCACATGCAACCATAGTACATGTCACGGACCACTGATACTTCTACGAGGGATCAAAAATGGGATCTCAAGGTTGCAATTTACCTACCTGGTTGAGAAAAATATCATGGTATGTACAATTATTTACCAAAGCCGATAGCCAAGTTCAGTAATCGTTTTTTTCCTCTTTTTCATTTGATTAATGAGTTTCGTTTTCCACATCATTTCCCAAAATCACTCGTTGACAACTTAAGGTGATGTACCTTTTTCCTTCAGGCTGACAAGCGCACAACCACGCATGAGCAGAATATCATTGCAGGGAAATCGCATTTCCAAGAGATTACCTTTGAGAAACCATTATTTTCAAGGTATGCAGGCTCTTAGCCATAGGGAAGGAAGTATTTATCACAGATGATGTTGATAAATTGTACTCACCAGTATGAATATAAAGTATTCTGTCACCCTTAAATCGCCCTGGGTTGGTGTTCATCTCGTGTAGCATTCCTCTAATGGCTTTGACGTTGTACACGGGGTCCACCATAATTCCAGTTGTTCTGGATATCTCCACAATGTCCTCTTCATTAACAGATACAAAGATTTCAGGGTTCGTAAGGAGCGAATTCAAATGCAAACGGTTGAGAAAAATTTAAATCATGTTTTATTTGGTAATCAAGCAATTTCGAATGCATTTTGGAATAAATAAGGAATAAATAAGCAATAAATTATAATAATTATGGATATAATTATCCATTATTATTGTCTTGCACAAACCTGTGGTAAAGAGGGGGGGAGGGGTGGGGGCAGGTAAACTTTGAGGTCTGAAACATCATTGAGTGATCATTCCTTCTAAATTGTAAAACAGATACACTGATCGCTTGTTAACAGAGTACATATCATTTTAACTTTCAGCCATAAAATTTTAGCTTTTAATTTGCACTGAAATAAATCAACATGCTGTCAGCCAGAGAGCATTCTGAAAACAAATTTTCCATGTTTGGCGTTAGTACAGGATCAGAAAGAAATGAGGGGCAAGCTTTTTTTCATATTTTTGAGTTTTGAAAAGGTTATTTACTAATAGATAGAAATAACTCTTTTCAACTTGCATGTCATTTCAGTACCTAAATAAGCAGGTTATTATTTAATATATTATGTAGAAGATTACAAGAAACCCATCCTTTTGGGCAAAGTCTATAAAAGTTGTGTGACTCAAAAAGGAAAAAAAATTTTTTTTAATTTTTTTTTTAATTTGCCTGACAGACATCTCCAAAAAGGAGGGACTGCTTGTAGTCTAATTATGAAGAAACCAAAATCTGCAAAATTATTTGAATAAACACCAACCTAACTCTTCTTGAGTGGATTTGCCATAGCCCTGTCCTTTGTATCCATCAATAATATCAATTAACTCTTCTGCTTGAACATCTAGTCCACCTATTTGAAGGTCTTCATTGATTTTCTGGTAAAAATATGCTGCATCATCACACACGTTTACTGCATGACACCTGTGAATAAATGACAATGATGATACTATTAAAGGTCTCAATTAGTCTCTAGTGTTCAAAGAAAATAAGGGAAAATTCTAGAAAGATTTAAAGGCCTGTGAGAAATTCTCCAGAACCACAATCTCTTTGTCTGAAGTCTTAAGCATGTATAGCTTAGGTACTTGCAGAAATTTTTTATCAGCCTATAGGTCAAGAGAATAAAGCTTTTTCATAACATTCATGAAATAGTTTGTCAGGGGTTCTTGAAAGGTGATATAGCATTTCAATGGAAACTATAACAAAATACTCTAATGTGATTGGTCATCATCAGCCCAATTTAAGCATAAATAGGACATTGTATGTGTCATATGCTTCTGTCTGAACAGTGTAATAGAACAGTTGATGCATCATGCCTGTATGAGTCGATAGCATATGTCATGTACACACCTTGTTATGAAAATGCACAACCAATACATCTAGTTTCTTTCTCAAATTTGTCATAGTTTTGATAAATTGGTAACAGGACTTAGTGTTAACATTAATATAACTGACTCCCACTTCACAGTCATCTGATTGTATTAATCACTTGTAAGATAACAGACCGAATTGAATTCCACTCAGTCCTATTATTATTATTATTATTATTATTATCATATTATTATTATTATTATTATTTTTATTATTATTATTATTATTATTATTATTATTTTTACTATTATTATTATTTTTATTATTTATTATTATTTTATTATTATTATTATTATCATTATCATTATTATTATTATTATTATTATTATTATTATTTTTATTATTATTATTATTATTATTATTATTTTTATTATTATTATTATTATTCCTAAGACCAGTAAATCCCTGGATGTAAATTTAATGAAAAAATTTTACAAAATCAAACCCTTTAGATGAAGAAAAGCAATGGTGGCAGTGGTGCCATAAATGATTGCAGAGCTCTGTATATGCAGGCCTCCTGAGATGCAAACAGCAAGAAGAAAAGAAGACAAAGAGTGCTGGTCAAATGACAAAATCCTTAATGACTAAGTGGGGACAAGCCAGACTGGAAAATATTTGGCTCCTGGTCATAATGAACAGATTAGTCAGAGAAAGGGTCTATATGTCATGACCTTGAGCCAGATTTTTTCTTGTCCAGTCCTTCCACACAGTCAAGAAAGAAAATATCAATATTTTTATTCAGAGCTTACTTGAGTTTTGATCCTGTTAAATAGTTACCAATGGCAATTCCTGATGCACTTCCACCACTGCCAACTGTAACAACAATGTCATCAAAATTCTTCAGCACATTCTGAAACAAACAAAGCCAGCTTTTTGACAGATATCCAGAATAAAATATTTTAACAAACAGGCTTTTGTGTGATCAGTGTTTAACTGCATTCATCACCTCTTGACCAGAAATGCACAAAATGAGCACACAATGCAGAAAAAGCTTGTAATTTTACCTGATCTATCATTTCTTGAAATGCTGTTAAGTAACCAAACATCCCCATGTAAGAGGAGCCTCCAACTTCAATCAGATAAGCTGATGAGCCCTGTTCTTTCCTGAAAAAAAAAGCAAACAAAGTCAGTAGGAAGGAACTTTAACATCTACAAACATGCCTTGGCATACATGCTGGGTTTTCATTGAGAAACAGAAGTAGGTGAGGCAGGTAAGTAAGCAAGTAATTTGAGGAGAATACTCTCCATATCTGGGTCAAAAATAACCTAGCCCATCAAAACTTAGTTCAAGAATTCTCCAATATCTGCTGCCTTCTTTACTCACTGCATAATAATTATAATAACAACTCTCTTGAGTTTTCCTAGCAGATACTTTTCTTAAAGAATGGAGTGACCTGTTTATTCATTCCTCTCTTTCTTTTTCACCTTTCTTTTCCTTCCTCATAATTTATTAAACTATTTATTATTTGTTCATTCATATTGGGCTTCTTGTAACAGAAGACTGGGTAAAGTATTAAATTATCAAACTAAGGGGAGAGAGAGTGGGTCCAACATAATAGTCCATTTTACAGGTGTGTGTTGCAAGCCTTTCAGGAGTCTAAAACCATGTTATGATACAAACCTTGCTGCTTCTCAAATGTAAATTGCTTTGTTGTTAAGCTAACCAGGTACTGGTCTCTATCACAACAAGGTCACCTACAGCCTCACTTCAAATCAAAGGCTTGGCAACTAAATACACAACTGTAAAAAGGCCTAAACTTCTCAAGATTTCTGACATTCTGAGATAAGCACCTGAAAGGCTGCATTGTAGATATGGCTTAATTTTCAATTCCTTTAAGAGGAACCAACTTGAGAGCCAATAGCAGCTCCTGTAATATTTTTGCTTGCCTTCATGTTTTAGAAGATGTGCTAAGGTGGCGGCCATCATGATTTTCATCAGTTTACACCACAAAGATGGTACTGTTCAACTAAAATGTCCCATTGCAGTAAATTCATGCAGTTTTTTTTAAACCTTTCAAGCAAGTTCTGCCAGTGAGATCTATCCCTGCAACTAAACCTGTTACTGGTAAATTAATACACAGTCAATTCCACTGTAAAATGGCTGCAACACAAATTTCTTCAAAAGAATTTCAATATTTTCATTGGCAATTATAATACAATGAGTGTCACTTAGTAACAGCTCTGTCTAAAAGTAAAGCCTAATGTCAGTTTGAGGTAGATTACTTTTAATGATTGCAACCACAGTGGTGCCAACTTACTAGGTTTTACAGTTCTCTGACCTTTCACTTACAATTTTTCAGACACTTCCTCCATCATTTGTTTAAGGCCAGATTTGTACTGAAGCTGAGGAACAACAATAATTTGACTTCCAACCAATTTGTTTAAAAACAGGTTTCCTTCACAACCAATATCTGTGGTCTGCATGAAGAAAAAAAGATCAAATGAAAGTTTCAATAAGTTTATTAACTTTCTTAGAGTTTCGCCTATCTTGTAAGGCAAAATTGGTGCCTT